CACAATTTGTGCTGGGCATGGCCTAGAAAAGGGGAGGCCTCTCGACAAAGTGAGTGAGAGTGTCATGAAATAGCGAATTTGCGACATTTGAATACCGAGAGGTTGATGATGTAAGGAAGGAATCGTGACAAGACGAATGTACCTGATTGACCAAACAAAGTCCGAGATGTACTCCGTACCTTAGGTAGGTACCCTCCGTGCCTTCCAAGAAATGTCAACCAGATAAGGTAGAGAGATAGATTAACTGATCTCAGCAAGACCCTCCTTCCCCCATTGCGCCAAACAAATTGCGAAGTAGAATTGCCCGATGTGCTTGTTACTTGTCATTGCCAATTTGGAAGGCTTGTCTCTTTCTTCCTCCCCCCAAGGTTCAGGTTCTTCATTACTCCGTAGATACCTACCTAACCTTACGCAAATTAACCCTCCCGCTGTCTTGGGGTATGCTAAACCTTAATGCAGCCAATTAAGGTGGTTGGACCGTCGAATTGCCCCCTGACAAGACATTTTAGCTGCCGGAGCCACGGGATGGCGTCCCCACCTGCTCAACTCCTCGGTCTCCTTCCCTCCACTTTCCTCCCCCGTTTTCCACTTTTCCTTCCTCTTTCCTGCATCCCGAGTTGGCGAGTTCCTCATCTGCCACACCGTTCCTGCAGGTACCGAGACACAATACAACTCTACCCATCAACCTTATACCTTTTTTTCTATTCGTAAGGTACTCCCCCCGTGTTCCCTCTCCAGTGCCAGGCACAAAACCGTTTTTTTAGCGCTGCCACCCTCAAAATACGTATCTTTCTCCTTGAGTCTAGTGAGATGCAGTTGCTGGCATCTCATCAGGGTCAAGTTCCTATGTAGATAGAGATACTCGTTGAGTCGTTGCTGCTGGACATGTCAAATTCCGGGAACTAGGTCAAGCAGGTCCCACCGTCTTCACACGTGCCAAGGTACATTCCCCATTAGCATTGCCACTCCTGCCTTCTGGGTTCCTCAAGCCTCTCCGTACCTTTACCGTATGTACTAGGCAAGGTCGTATACGGATATCGCTGTGCATTTTGCAACGCCATCATCCCGCACCATCTCGGTTTTCGGCTTCTTTGGTACCAGCCTAAGGCTCAAGCGGCCTTCTCCCCATCTGCCCGCAGTCCCGGCATGAGTCGGCACGGATAGCAAGGCATCGCAAGAACCAGGCGTGCCAGCGTCTCCAAGCACCTTGATGCTGGGCGTACAGCCGCCTCAAACAGCCAATGAAGACTTTGAAACAAGCCCCCTCTCCCTCTCCCCTCTTCCCCCTTTGCCTTGCTACCTTACCTACCTTATCCTCTTTTCATCGTGTCTTTTGGTCACGGGCAACTCTCCTCCCGGTCCACGCTCCAAGACTTGTCCAAGACTTCTCTGTTGCAACTAGCAAGAGAGCCCACACACACTCACAGACATTCGGCCATTCAGATAGACACGGCCCAATCCAGTCTTGCCGTCATCCAGTCCTCCAACCAACTTTGCTCATCTCACCCGCCATTGTCAGCCGCCACACACTGCTACTGCTACGCCTACCTTACGACGGACCCTACCACTCCTCCGTCCCATCCATGATCCCAACTTCCAAGACAACCACAAATACATCCATGTGCCCTGTTCTTGTCCAACGAGCATCGTGAACCATCCTAACCGACCGCTCCTACACTATCTGCTCCTATAGGACTTTGGTGCAGCCATCAGCCTTGTCTTGACACAGGTCCACCGACAGCGCTAGACATCGGCTTATTCTCCTTCCAGCACTGCCATCATACCATCATCCCGTCATTTCTAGGTCCGAGTCGCAAGGAGACTGACTGTGCACAATACCGTCGATACACCACCTGGCGCAGCCTTCCTTCCGCCGGTACTTGTCATGTCAAGATCCATCTTCGGGTGCGGCCTGCCTGTGGTACTGCTTGCTGCTAAGTGGCTCGGTCAGCCTGACGTACGTATACAGCACATCGCCAGCCTGCTCGGGCATGGGCCGAAAGAAGGCATCGGCCTCCTGTCAAGTCCAACCTAATCCTATCCGTCGTACCCGCGCCGTGTGATCCACTGCATCGCTCATTTCGGGATGGACGTCCGTCCTTTGCACCATGACTCCGGTCCGGAGGATCTCCACGCTCATTGTGTAAACCTTCTGGATAGAGCGGCTCAGGAAAGCGCCATCCTACCATGAACAGTTGGTGCACCAAGCCCATGCAGATTCTCGAGCAACACTTCACCGACAGGGGACACAAATTGGCCGGAAGTCGGCCCATGATAATATGTACGGCTACGCGAGTCCAGTCTGAAAACACCCGGATGGGTCTTGACTCTTGAATTGTCGAGGCCGCGGATCGGTGGAACATTGCAACTCCACGTTTCCATCCAATACCTTTCGACTTGTTTCCGATCGCAACCCTACAGAGAGTCATCTCAACTAAATTCCCTTGGGCCGCCTTCATCATACCCAAGACCTCTTGGCCGGCCTGCACTAAGGAGTGTCATCTCTTGTATGCCCGCCCGCGGCGTGGCGGCCTTGCCAGGAATCTCTCTGTTCAGAGACTGGTCTGGTCGCCGCACATTGCCTTGTTATCCGCCCAAGCTGCATCTGCGCGATGACGATTAAAACAAGAAAAGCCTTGACACGCATTTTGCTGGTGCGTTGCCTCTCGGGGCGAAAGGAGAGAAACAACCAAGCCTAGACCCTTCCACGGTGAAACAAAACGAACTCTTGGATAGCCGACATGATTACACTAGCTTTTTCCCCCCCTTCCTGTCGCAGTCATGATAGGTTTTATTGGGCCCGCCAGGCCAAGTTCGCCCGACCCCGACTTGGACCGCATCCTAAATTCCCCCGTCCCAAGAGCCAAGCAGACAGCTTGATAGAAAAGACGAATCACGAGGCTGCTGATTGAAGACGTTGCTGCTCCTGTCGTTCGTGTGACACATGCCACGCGAACCTCAGACATGGAACGGTGTGGCGCCGTTGCATCATCGGACGATGGAACAGATCGTGTTACAGAACTCGCCCTCCCGCACGTCGATCAGATAAACTCTCTGGTAGCCGCTTTTCAGGACGACCAACCTCACCCCATTCCCCACACAACCTTGCATTTCGTGTGTCCCGGCTGGCCAGGCTCAAGGGGTCTGCTCAGCCTCGTCGTCGCACTTGCAGCCGCTCTCTCGCTGGGTATCGATTGGCTCACACTATCTACTTTGGGCATCTGTCTGGTCCCGGCTGTTGCTGCTGCTGCTACTGCTGCTGCTGTTGTTGCTGGCCTTCGTACAATCCGGTGTAGTAGCCAGCATAGTACCATGACATCAAAAGTCTCTTCAAACTCTCGTCTTGCACTACAAACCCCGAAGAAAGAGGGGCCCTCAGTCAGTCCGGTGTTCAAGTTCAAAAGAGGCTACTATGCAACTGCCGTCCCAACTCTGGACAGTCCGGGATAGTTTACATACCTGATCCGAGAAGACTCTGCGGGCCCATTGTCGCAGGCCCTGGGGGGCCATTGGTCTTTGCCATAGGCACACCTGTTGAATCTGCCTGGTCCTGGACCTAGATCGGGGCGAGCAAGGAAGACGTTAGCGGAAGCGAACAAGATAGAGATTTGCTGCATAACGACGAGGTAGAGAACAGAGAAAGCCAAGCTTTTTTGATCTGCCTGGATTTTCGTCTGGGGAGGGGGTTCATCATCGGGGGTGTTTTACATCCGTGCTGCTCAACCCCTTTGTTTTGTCGGCTCTCTCTGCAGCATCATCCGCGATCTCTGGCTGATCGACGGCCTGCGTTTGCGCGTCGTCCGCGGTCCTGCGTAGATCATTAACGTGTCAGAGTCTCGGGGAAAGATTTCTTGGGTCTTGGGGGTGATTAAAGAAAGAAGGCTTAGCCGTACTGGGTATCTTCCGTCTTCTCCTGGAGATCAAGGTCTTTGAGCTTGCCTCCCTTTGCGTGAATGCTGTGATACTTCTGCAAGGTTGGTTAGCGACTGACTGCTCTGCTTCCGCGAGTATTGAATTCCTCTTCCCCTCCTCCCCTCCTGATGAGATTGGATCTGTCGCTTACTTTGTACTCGTCCAGGGCCTCGTTCCATGACTCTATCAACGCAGAGTCGTCCCACATCTCACTGTGCGACATTTCCATATCGTTGCCGGCCATGTTGCTGAATCGAGGCGAGCTCCCTTGAGGATGATGACGTTTCTATTGATGATAAGGGCACCTATGAGGGCAGTCTGCTATGAGTAAGCCCCCTCTGGTCTTACTGACTGTAAAGTTGGCGCCAGAGGTATGGACGGTGTTGCTTCTTGATGAGTTTGGGCGGACCAGGGGAAATTTGCGCCGGAAGACTGGCCCTCCTCAGTTAAGCTCGTGGAGGTGAAAAGTCCTGATGGGTCCCTGATGAGATACGTCGAGTTTTGTGATGCGTTTTTGGCGATATGGCAAGTGAGAACTGCTGTGATTGCGGTGGGTTGAAATGTTCTCTCTTAATTGTCGACTCGATTGCGGTGAACAGGCAGTTGGGTGGCGTTCTTGTGGAGTCGTCAAGACAAAGTCGTTCTGGTTGTAAGATGGCAAGATGATATTGCCGTTCTTTCACATGAGATCCCAGCCTGAGGTTTGTGAGAGGTACTAGCTGTGCATCAACCTCATTGACGGATTTCCAGTCCTTGGGCGTTGGGTTCCTTTCAGGGAACTAAAGGCAACCTCAGCTCCCCTGGTAAAGAGTAGATAGGTGCTGCAACACCGCTCAAGGACGGCACTACAGGCGCACATGCAGTATAAATGTACCCACTAAAAAGTCGTTCTCGGGGCAGCTGGAAACACGCGCTGAGCGGGTTTAGCGGGGTCGCATGGCCTCACCGCCTCCACCTCGGGACGGCAGAATCTTGGAAATTTTTATTTTTTTTGCCTTTGCGACGGTACTCGATCAAGGCGTGTGGGTACAGGCTCGGTTTTCCAGGGACTTTGTCTAACCATTGCTCCCTCAAACACATCAGCAAGAATGGCCCCCGAACTGAGAAAAAGAACCAGATGTAAGTTGCCAAGCTGTAAAAGACCGTTCCTTGTTTTTTTAAAACTAATATTTGTTGTCAGCCGTCACTGGCAAGGAGCCTATGGCGAAGAAGGCGGCCAAGGTCGAAAAGGTTGAAAAGGTTGAGCCTGCGACCGAAAAGGCGCCCAAGAAGGTAACCAAGAAGGCCACCAAGGAGGAGAAGGTCGAGAAAGCTCCCAAGCGCAAAGGTGTGTCCCGATTGGATTCTAACAATGTTGCATTGGCTTACCACCATGCTCCCGAGCAGCTCCCGAGGAGGCGCAAGCTTCCCCCGTCGCGGCGAAGAAGCAGAAGCCCGTCAAGGCGAACGCGAAGTCGAAGAAGTCTGCCGCCCCCGCGCCCGCCGAGCCCGTCGAGGAGGAAGAGAAGGAGAAGGAGGCTGAGCCCGAAGCCACCGAGGATGCCGAGACCTCTGTCGTAGCGTTCGAGGAGGAGGATGACGATGAGGAGGTCGACGCTGACATTGCCGCCCTCGCCGCCGGCCTGGACCCGGAGGACGCGCCAGCCGGCGACGGCACCGTCTTCAAGTCGGGCCAGGACGTGGGCAAGGTGCCCAAGTTCAAGAAGCAGAAGCAGTTGACAAACGGCAAAAAGGAAGAGCCCGGCGTGGTCTTCATCTCCAGGCTGCCCCACGGCTTCTACGAGCACGAGCTCAAGGGCTACTTTTCACAGTTTGGCAACATCACCCGCCTCCGGCTGGCGCGCAACAAGAAATCCGGCGCGAGCAAGCACTACGCCTTTCTCGAGTTCGCCGAGGCCAGCACGGCCGAGATCGTGGCCAAGACCATGGACAGCTACCTGCTGTTCGGCCACATTCTCAAGGTGAAGACGGTGCCGGCGGACCAGCTGCACGAGGACGTGTGGAAGGGCGCCAACAAGCGCTTCAAGAAGATCCCCTGGCACAAGATCGCCGCCGGCGAGGTGGCCAAGCAGAGGACCGAGTCCGACTGGACGCACAAGGTGTCCAAGGAGGAGAAGAAGAGGCTGGAGCGCGCCGAGAAGCTCAAGGCTATCGGGTACGAGTTTGAGGCGCCCAAGTTGAAGGAGGCTGTTGCGCCGCCGCCTGAGCCCATGGCTGTCGACGCGCCTGAGGAGACCAAGGCTATCGAGGCTGCGCCGGTTGAGGAGGAGAAGAAGGAGGAGGCTGCCAAGGAGGAGGAGGGGAAGGTTGCCGAGGTTGAGACGCCCAAGTCTGCGAAGAAGGCGACGCCCAAGGGCGGCAAGAGGAGAAAGTCCAGGGGTTAAAGAGAGGCTCTTTTTCAATGATATCCCTCGTCACGACGGAACCGTTTCTCTCCATCTCTTGGGGTTTCACGAAAAGTCTTGTGTTTTTTCTGTTGTTTGGCATCAGGTATTCTACTCGTGTTTCTGTCGCTCAGGAGTCGTTGCGTCAAGAACAACAATGGGACATAATTCAATGGGTTCAAGTTAGTATGTGCGCACATAGCGAACCCGTCGCACCCATTTCAACCCAAAAAGTTGGGGGCAAGCACCGGGATTATAAAAGGCGTTTATATCACTCTACTTCAGCGTCAAAAATGAACAAGTCATTGGGGAAAATGCGCTTGCTCTAGTGATATTTCAGCGAAGGGTAAAATATGTGAAGAAGGAAAGAGGAAACGGGAAAATTTCCGTCAGACGGAGACGCTTCTTGAAGGCTTTGGGCGATAAGATAAGAATGACTAAGCGAAGGACCCGCCATCTGCCCACCTCAGTCCCATGGTCGTGAACCGTGGACGGACTTGCGCCAGCCGATACAGAGGTGCACTTTGTACGAGAAACACACAAGCTATTTGAGGTGTCTTAAACAAGGAAAGATGCCACATTGAATTCTTGTCATGATACACTGATTTCTAGGCATCGCTTTATACAAGAGTCATCCAAGATTGTTTAACACTAGCAGGTCGAGCCACAGAAAGTGCAAGCCTCAAAGTGTGGCCCGTGTTACTCAGTTGACCACCTGCTAGGGCCACCGTTTCATGTATCGATTCTGTGCTCATAGCAAACCGTGAAATCCAGCATGAAAACTGCAGATTTCTTGTCCATATCATAAGATTGAGAACAGGATAGAGTCGGAATAGCTCAATGAAGAATACATGACTCTCTAGGATAAAAACCACGATTGTGTTAACGATGACAATGTTCACGTCTTGGCTCGACTGGATGGTTCCCAGCGTTTAAGCGCCGTGTCCACCAGGCCTTAGCTAATACACCTCGCTATCGGTACCTTTCTGTGGAGCTCAGTGGCCACCTACCTAGTGTGGGGGACGGGGGAGCAGCACCCTAGGTTCCGCGTGGGAAGTGAACACGCTCGCTAATTTGCGAACCTAGCTTACGTGGTGTAAGTACATGCAAGCCCGCCCAGGTGCAAACTGTCGACATCCCAATTCCCAACCGACCGGACCCTCGAGAAAGAAGAAGAAAAAGAGCTTCCCCCGTTCCCGCGCCCACCAGCTCAGAGGGCTATCCACACCATCCCGATGCATCTGAGAAGACAACATGTCGGCCGCCGCTCCCTCCACTGATCCGGTTCAAAACGCATCTTCAGGTTCGTGACCCCGATTGAATCCTTCCCGCGTCTACGTTGATGCGCGGCCCCAAGCTAACGGGGGACTTTGCAGGGAAGAAGAAGAGCGGCAAGAAGAAGAAGAACAACGCCAACAAGCCCAAGGAACCCATAGACACAGACAGCGCGCCTCCTCCGTCCGAAAATGCAGAGTATGGCGATGATGAGCCGGAAACCCCGGTGCAGGTGATACTCCCTTGATCCCCCCGCAAAGCCCAGCTTAGCTGACTGCCATCTTAGGCTTCCGCGCCGATAGAAGAATCCAGCCCCGAACAGTCAACGGGTAAAGACACAACGGCCAATGGCCACACGGAACGGCCGACGAGCAACGGACATGCGAATCCCCCAATAGAGGCGGCCGCAGAGGAACAGGGAACCAACCCCGATGCCACGGCAAAGCTGGACGCCCTCACAAAGGAACGAGAGGCGCTGCGATCAGAGGTCGAGCAATTAAGGAAGCAGCTGGAGACCATTCAGGGAACACACAACGAGACCGTCATCCAGCTCAAGTCGGAACTGGAGGAGACGTCGTCGGCCAAGGAACAGGCAGAAGAGAGCTACCAGGGTCTCCTCGAGCGAGTCAACCACCTCAAGTCGACGCTCGGCGAAAGACTGAAGCGCGATCGCGCCGAGCTGGAAGAGGCCAAGGAGCGCATCGAGGAGCTCGAGTCCCAGAACGAGGAGCTGCAGAATGGCGCCAAGGCATCCGAGGAAGAGGTGGCGAAGCTCCGGGATGAGCTGCAGGACACATCGCGTGAGGCGACAAGTCTGCGCAGCCGAAGCAATCTGTCCCAGCAGAACTGGGTCAAGGAGCGCGAGGAGCTTATGAGGCTGGTCGCCAACCTCAAAGAGGAAGTTGAGACGACGACGAACGCCATGGGCGAGTGGGAGGTCATCGCCATGGAGGAACGATCCGTCAAGGAGAGCCTGGTCGAGAAGGTGACGGAGCTGGAGGAGCAGATTGCCGGCCTCCGTGACGGCTACGAGAGCGCCGCGTCCGAGCGAGATCAGCAATCGCAGGTCATTGACAACTTGCAAAAGGCCCTTCGCGAAATCCAGGATGCGCGGAAGAAGGAGCTGCGGGAGATGGTTGAGACGTCAGAAGAGCAGCTGCAAGCCATGAAGAAGCTTGTGCAAGAGGCGGACACTAGGGCTACCGAGGCCGAATCGGCCAAGGAAACCCTCACCAAGGAGCTCGAGCGCACAGCGCCATTCGAAAAGGAGGTCAAGGAGAAGAACCTCTTGATTGGCAAGCTGCGGCATGAGGCCATTGTGCTCAATGACCATCTCACCAAGGCTCTCCGTTACCTGAAGAAGACGAAACCAGAGGACAACGTTGATAGGTACTGTGACCTCTCTTTGCACTACGGGCCTCAACCGCAGACCAACTAACACACCCTTAGACAAGTCGTGACGAATCATCTCCTTCACTTCCTCACTATCGACCGCTCCGATCCCAAGCGCTTCCAGATCCTGCAGGTCATGGCCGGCTACCTCAATTGGACGGACGAGCAGCGCGAGCAGGCCGGGCTCGCCAGGCCGGGCGCGTCGAGCAGCATACTCCGCTTGCCGGCCTCCCCCTTCCACCGCACGCCCAGCACCCCGTCGCTGAGCGCCGAGTTCTTTTCCGAGACGCCCACCTCGGCGAACAAGGAGTCCCTCGCGGATCTGTGGGCGGGCTTCCTAGAGCGCAGCGCCGAGGAGGGCCTGGATCAGGGCTCATCGGCGGGGACACCGCGCGATCGCAAGGACAGTGGGAGTAGCGCGGCGACGGGACGGGGCGGCAGCTAGTGGAGGTCGTCGTGGACCGGGTAAGATTTAGTCATGGGGAGAAGAGGTGCAGAGGCGTAGAGGTGGTAAGCCCCCCGGATGTATTCATTTCTGCCAGCCACCGGAGCATAGGGGTGTGTAAAGACCATTATCATTGGGTACCTCTCCTGGGACGGGTGGACGTGTGTGTGTGTGTGTGTGTGTGTGCGTAGTCGACCCTTCACCGCACTTGCCCAAACAAAACTACAAACAAGTCATAGATATGAGGACCATTAAAGACAAAAAAGAGTTCACCACCGGTGTGGCTACATCTCTTGGTGCTCATGCTGGGACTCGAACTCGGGGTACTCTCGCTAAGCCCGTCGTCGAGTAGGTTGGTTGCTGTATAAATCGATTATTGAACATGTACCACTCCGCCACCAAGCCAGTTTGACCTGACCCGTCGACCTAGACGGGCGCCTGCTGGCTGGTGATGGGAATGGAGTCCGGGGGGGTATATGAAGGTTTGCTCTGTGTGGTTATTCGGGTTTGTGTATTCAGGTGGCGGGGGAGGGTTATCGGGTGAATGTTTGGTAAAGAGTGTATAAGGTAACTACGGCGCGGCGAGTGCCAGCTCTGTCTGCTTTCTTTCTGGCCATACCTGCTCCATCTTAGGGATTTTGTTCTTTTTCCTGGCAGAGTAAGAGGGCCTGGTGTTACTACGGCACGAGACGATTGAAATCAAGGTTACGATGGGATAAGGTAATCGAGGCACAAGAAGGGATAAGTTGGGAACATGGGCTCATAGAATTACTTTGCGATGGATGACTGGCCCTTGAGACGTATCAGACACCAACATGACTTCTCTTCTAGTTCACGCAAAGCTCATCGCGTCCAGACCCATCCATAATTATATGCTCCTTTCTTATTCTCTACATAAGATGCTGCAGTGGCTATCTATACACCACCACGCATCAACTCTAAAACTTCCAGAAGGTCAAGAAGACACACCACGCCGCTCATTGCGCAGTGCCTTCCGGCTGTCGAAACACCCCCTCGGTATAACTCTCAGCATCGCTCGTGACCTGCTGTATATTAATCCTATTCTCCAGCGCATCATTCACACTCTCGACAACCTCCCTCTCCTCCATGGCATCGCGCACCATCTGGCCCTCGCGCAACCAATACGCCTGACTCCGCGCCCGCAGCTCCTCGTCGCGCATCGACGTATTCTTGACGATACCCAGCGCGTTCAGCTTGCTCTTGACCGTCGTCAGGGCGCGGTTGCTCGCCTCGATGCGCTCCGCTTCCGAAGGCGGCAGGACGAAAGCGCGGCGGGTGCCAGAGAGGAACAGGAGAGCGCCGATGCCGACGTCGAGGGCCGCGAGGGCGATGTAGCGCAGCGCTCGAGCGCGCCAGTAGAAGAAGTCCATGTCCTGGAGGCGGAGGGCCGCGGCGTTGGCAGAGTAGTCGTACTGACCTACGAGGACGGCGTCTGCTGCGGCGAGGGCGGCGGCGGCCATTGTGGCGTGGGAGCGCCAGCGAGCACCATCGCGGCCGGTGAAGGTGGAGGAGGTGACGGCGGCGAGGGCGATGAGGTTGACGAGATGGGGGAGGATGATGGCGGGAAGGGCGTAGTAAAAGTAGGACTTGGGGTCCTCGGACTTGCAAAAGGGGCAGTCTGCGAGGGCGGCGGGGCCGAGCTGGAGGTAGAGGAGGCGGGACTCGAGGTTGACGAAGCGGGCGCGGAGGCGCTCGTCGGCAGCGGTGAGGGCGGATTCCGGGCGAAGGGAGGACAGGCGGTTGAAGAGGACGTCGACGGGGATCTGGAGGCGGGACTGGGTGAGAGTGAATAGGTTCTCCGGGGCCAGGGGCGGGAGGGTCTTGACGAGGTAGACGATTACGATGATGGTGAGGATGGCGAGGGCGC